CAAAAAAGAAAAACAAAAAGAAATGTATAACTTATTTCAAGCATGGTATATGAAATCAGATTTTCAATTGCAAATTATTTTTTTATTTAAATAAGAATTAGAAGCAGCTACAAATTCAAGTAAATTTAACTAATACCCAGGCATACTATTGGCTTTGGCTTGCCATCACTAACCCATGTGAGACTTTACAAAAAAATAGGAATATTGAGTAACAAACACATGAGAAATAATTTCATTGTGATAGATTTTTTAAAAAAATGGGAGTTGAATTGAACTTACATATATAACCAATGTGTATGTAATAATCATTTTATAGTTAGCAGATTAATATCTTTGTTATCACATACTTCTGAAGATTTGACATTATGAAATGCACCTTGGGTTATCTAGTTTATGAAATATGAAATACATAAAAACTTAATATAATTCATTATGAAATAAACATACCCCTTTCTACTTATTGAGATTTTAGTGATACTATGGGAATCTTAATGTTTCAATTATATTTTGTTTCATTAGTAATCAAAAAACTTATTCAGAAAGTGCTTTCATTATTTTGTTTTATTATAGTCCAAGTTATTGACTATGTAGTAATAAAATTTAGTAGTAATTCTGGTTAGTTTTTTTTTTCTCTTGGATTCAGGATAAGATTACACCTCTGCTTTTACTAATAAAATTACCACATTTTGAATCATCATAATTTATTTATTACAACCCCTGTACTAACTCACTTCTGCTTGTAAATATAATGGGTGCATTGTCTCCCCTTCATCTCTATTTCAGGAGAGTACAGGAAGTGCTTCAGCCTTTAAGGTAATAATCTTTGGACCAATGTTATTACAATAAGCAGTTTTTCTCTTTGATAACAAAAAATCTTCTCACTTTCAAATAGTAGTGTCAATAAAAGTGTAGGATTTGAATTGAGATAATTTGTACAATAATTAAGAAAGCAAACAAGAGACCTCTATTTGCTAAAATGCTTAGGACCTAGTGATGCAAGTATACCATTTGTTTAGATTTTATTTTTCAGAAAAGTATTTGAGCTTTGCAAGTTTTTATTTGAAATAATTTGTTTCTATCTTGTGGAGAAAATAGAGCAAGAAAAATCAAAGCACTTTTGTTTTTTCTGGGGGGTTTTTTTCTTCTTTTTTTGAATAACATTTTTCCATTGATCAAAGAACTTGAAGGCTTTGAAATGAATAGTCTATAAACTATTCGTAATTTTATCCCTTGAAAAAAAAAAAAAAAAAAAAAGCTGTTCAGCCATATTATTGCATCAAATCCTGTTTTTATTCTTTTTACAAGTGTAAGCCTTGGACCAAATCTATTGTCATTATTTGATTTACGTTGAACAATCAAAACAATTTGAAGTTTTCTCAGGAAGTTTGAGGCAATGAGGATTGACTGTATAAATTCTGAACAGAAATTTTTCAGTGGTTGATTTCAAGCACATACCTTTAATGGTGTAATTTTAATGTTGTTTATTTAAAAAAAAAACTGACTTTTACAGAAGAGAAGCTACTGAGATTGATCATTTTGGTAAACTTATAGAATATTTACTCAAATACATACCGCTATTTTCAAACAAATTGATATTTGAGCTAGATACATGTGTGGTCAAGAAAAAAGATATACATTAATAAAACAAGTTAAATCTTTGAAAGTTCACTAGATGTACAAATATATGTACTCAACACAATGTAATCCGCTTGATTTTATTCTGCATGGTTTCCTACTTTGCATACTACTATTAAGGTTACAAATACTAGAACTTATATCTACCAATTAGTTTATTGAAAGAAGTATTCCACTCATCATATCCTTTTTAATCCAGCTTTGCAATGATGTGGATTCCACTGCACTTTGGTCTTATAATTAAGTTACTTGTCTTTAAGAATATGAGAACAGTTTACAATCCATTGAACATTGTCTGAGAGGTGGTATTAGAAAGTGTTTTGTTTTAGGTCAAAGCCATAGACACTCAAGTTGTAAGTTGTTTATTGTTTGTTTGTTTCTTTAGCCCAAGCGTGCTCTGGTCCGTTATACGCCTGATGTTGAACCCAGGAGACAGTCAATGTGGTCACCAGTAAAAAAGAAGCTTTTGCCAGACCAGGATATGGCTCATCAGTGTACTAAAAGGTTACGACCTGGTCAGGAAGACTCTTTGTAATTTTTTGTTATTTCCTTGCAAAATGATGTGATAATGAGCTTATTGTTAAACAATATCTTGCATTTTTTTTATTTTCCTTTTTTTTTTTTTCCAATTCAATTCTTGGTCAGTCCAATTATATACTTAAACATTGCTCATTTAAAGGATTTTGTAGATTGTTTCTTTGGTACATTCTTATATAAAACTGGAGGTGTAGATTTTAAAAAAAATGCACATCAAATTTACCAGTTTTGTAATTGGTATAACTGTTCTAGATCCAGTAATGGTAAGCTGCTTGATGCTGCAAGTATTTTTAAGTCATGTTGAGATTCAACCATCTAGAATCTATTGAGAGATCTAAATATATAGGTCAGTTTTAACAACAAAAATTGTAGATTTTTTCATAGTCTTTTACCATGTCAGATTTCTCTATTTGCTAAATGTTCCTATGAGGGTTAGATTTCTGGTGTGCTCTTTGACTGACCTACAATGTTTTACTTCATTATGTTTCTCTATTTGTTATTTATGACTTTGATTTACCCGACATCATTTCCATTGAATGCTTTAGATTTGTGATATGGTACATTGAGTAGCACACCATTGGTTGTAATGTAAACCATTTAGACTGTAATCCTCTATTCATATTGAATACCCATAGCCATATTTATTGACAAACATGTATGTATACATCTGAAACTCTTGTCTTCCACTGTATGCAAATATCAATGATCCCTGTAATAAGTGTAAGCAGCGACAAATGACGGCATGGTCATTTTGTATGCACTCCAGACTTAATCTCGATTGATTCTGATCCTTTGCCTCTGTCATCCCATGCTGGCTCTTAGGAGCTTTGGACCTGGACAGAATAAACTTCATTTTCTGTAGGATGGTTAAAAAAAAGCAACTATCATGTTTCACTTGTATTTCTCAGTTTCTGTGTTGACTTTATTTTGGTGCTCCATACTCTATTACCTCATTGGATTCTGCACAATGTTTCACATAACATGATCAACTAGACTGTACACTTGAGAATAGTTAATTTCTAAACATAAATAATCAGTTGTGCTTGTATTTTATTATCTCCTAGATGTCAATATGATTCTTTTAAGTTACTTTCAAGTGTTAATAATTTTTTTTGCATAGTTTCCAAAGTGTCAAGCAGTTCTTAAGGATACTTTCCAGTGTGAATAACTTTTTTTTTTAAGTTGTTGTTAAAACTTTCACATTTTTTAAAGTTAAATTATAAAAAAAAATTAATAATTTTACTTTAAAAGATTAAAACTGTTCATTGTTAAATCACAAACATATAGAACTGTGAATCCTGTACTCAATAAAATATTTAACCTGAAATTTATCAAAATAGTTTAACTTTTTAATTTTTGATAATCATATGATAAACTAACATAGTGCATTTAATTTTAATATAACTTGGTTATGGCATTATGGGAGATTAAAAAAAACAGTGAACTTTATAGACACTTAACTATGTCATTATTGTAACTGGAGTATTGAACATGTACTGAACAAATTGATATCTAATAAATAGATAAAACGTTCAAGACAGATGCAGAGACAAAAAGCTGCTTGAAAGAATCTGTAGGTATGAATTCTAATAGTTTCATGAGTTGAAAATTGCAACTAGAGTAACATCCCTTTGTTGAGTGTCGCCAGAAAACACCATGTTAATAATTCAATTTATAGAGCGCTGTTAAATATAATGTAGGCTCAAAGCGCTATGATAATGAAACATACTGTTATAAACCTGGTGGTGGCACAGATGGGGGTAGTGGTGTGAGTGTAGTCAGTTTACGCAAATCGCCCCAGGCCAGCGCTAGACGAGCGGTCAACCGGGACGAGTTACGACGGTCAACCGAGACGAGTGTCAACACGACGGTTCGGGAAGGATCGACGTCGTGAACAGAGCTCAGGAGCGTCACGAGAGTTGTAGTCATCTGACCACCCAGAATGGTCCAGCGACGTTCTGCCCGGTTCTAAAAGGCCAGCAGGGACCCTATATAAAGAGTGGAGGTGACACAGTCAAAACGGTTCACAACAGGGCTTAGAACACGGTCGACTACAGCACAGTTCAACGGTGTGGTTCTGTACGGAGCATTACGACGGTTCATTGCGGAGTACTGTCAAGTACAGTTGAGACGACTGGCGTCTTGATCTTGGTCTGCGATCGAGTCCGACACAACGAGCCTAGTGTGTGAAGTCAGTCCTGAACTGTTGAACCCAGTGCAAGCCCGGAACGAGACGGAGAGGCCAGTGCAAGAGTTGATACGGCTGTACGGTGTTATCGGAGAGATATTTGTATAGTGTACGTGTTGCCAATTGTACAGTATTGGCTGTTATTTATTGAACTATTAAAGTGTTACGTTACTTTGGAGCCCTGAGTTTTCAAGTTCTTTAAGTTGGTGGTGTGTGGTGCAGTTTGCAGTGAGACTGGATAGTGAGATTCGTAACAATACATAAACACGAGAGCCAAAATAACAAAGTAATCTAAAATAGTTTTGAACAGTTCTTAACTGAAAATCTGGCCCATAGAAGACCAACTGTATGAAGATCTGATCTGGAAAAACTTCGCAGTTCCTCTCATTTAGGCTAAAGAATGGGTTATCTGATTGCTCCAATGTGTTTTTGTACAGACTTTCCTTTTAAAAAGCCCATATAGTTCTGACAGAAGTCGAACCTTAATCTTGTTAAAAGTAGGAAGCACTAGCACCTCGACCAGTCAGCTCAATATGATTCCTCTTGCATTTTTATTTTTCTTTCACAACGCAAACTATTGAAAGACGCAAGTCTACTTACACACACTAACACATACACATTCTGAACAAAACAAAACAGCTTGGGTGTTTTATGGTTTTTATTGTTCAGCGTACTCTTTGCAAACATTAGTCTGGTCCATCAGTTTGAGTTCTGAGATTATATTGTTTCTACTCAATTGTTAAAGTGGGAAAGCAAAGCAGACATGTTCATTTTAAAATTACATATGCCTACATTCTAAATGATTCTTAAACAAGTTGATTATGTGCTTGTAAGGATGACTTCATTGACCGTTTTGGCCAGAACTTATTTTGTACGTTTTAGGGACCATGCATTGCCTAGCTCAACCAATAGAAGCTATCACACATCACAAGTCGCTTGAATTCGTTCATTGTTAATGGCAGGTACCAATGTTCATTTGTCAATACGTTCGTTGGCCACCTTTATTTAGATTTAAGAATATAAAAGAGTACTGTTTGGCTATAACTGTCCCCAATATTGTCATATTGTTATTGCTGTGGAGGACAAAAAGATTAGGGCCTAAGTCATGTACCGGAAGTTAAGACCAGTCATTCAGTTTGTCTCGTACTGACCAGTCGTTCAGTTTGTCTCGTACTGACCAGTCATTCAGTTAGTCTCGTTCAGGCCAGTCATCTATGTTCCTGAAACTTTCTGCTGGGCAGTCATTAACCTGTAATGATTTATTTGGACACGAACAATGCTCTTTGATGCTAAATCCAGCTTAACTAAACTAGGATAGACAAAGGCCCCGACTTATTTCCTGAGAAAGAAATCAAACATTTTCCCAAACTTATTTCTTTGGCTAGACATTACTTCTTTCTTATTGGTTTTACCCATGTACAACCTAGGTATCTACAAGGCCATTTGATGCATAGGTAATCTATTTCTATGGCGGAGGGTGGTTCGTGGCCAGCACAACGACCTACCACCTTTACTTTCCCTGATCTTATGTCAGGAACCCATTAGAGCTCTAGAGGAAGTCATCGAGATTTGAACCCAAGACTCTTCGGTTTGGAAAAACAATTAAGTGCTTGACCACCCAACAATGCCACGTCACAAAAACTTGAACCAGGCTTTAAGTATGGTATGCATTCTCCATCCATCAGTAGCTCCTTTGCCACTTATAGCTTACTACTTTAAGGTCTTTTATGTTATGATCTTAAAACATATAGTTTAATAAAGAGCTCATCAAGAATAAAAATTACAAATAGTTTCAACCCAGATTAATAAAGACAAGTGTCTGTGGACAAAATAAACTAATGAATGGGACTATGATGGCCTTAAAAAAAACAAAAAAAAAACAATGAAGATGTGAAATGAAAAATGGTCAAAAGAAGTTATTTTGGCATCTTCATAAACTATCTTAGTTTGAGAACCAATTGATTTTGCGTGTTAACGTATACACCGCTAAAATTGAATAAAATCATCTTTTTTTTTTTTAAAGTAACGTCTATATTGTATAAGATAAAATATAACCAAACTATTCTTTTAAATATCGAGTGAAAAAGAAATAAAAAAGAAAAGATAAATGATGAAACATTTCTAAACATGGCAATGAAAAACAGAAAATAATAGAAACGAACAAAACGAATTATCTACACACAAAAAGGTTGAATCATACATTTAAACGAATCAATACTGATTTATGTTAAAACACTCCCAACATTGAAATGAAATCGAAACATGTGGGCCTGATTGTGGGTAGAAACAAACGTCCTAATGACATTGTTGCTCACGACAGCAGCGGCAGTACGGAAGGGCTCGAGGAAGCAGGAAGAACATTTCCCTTTACTTTCATTATTTTTTAGTTTGTTTCTTCATCTAGGCTTTCAATCGTCCACAAAGGCATCACTAAATCACCAGTGCTGCTAAATAACTTTATTTCTCTCAGAGGCTGAACCAGTCCGGGCATTTAAATGGTTATTTATTTCTTTTAAACGATCTGTTCATTTAGACCAATATCTCGTGGCCACGTCATAGGTCTGTACGACTTGGCAACGCGCTGTTGATCCAAGCTGCCCACAGCTTGTGATGTTGCAGGTCAGTGTTGTGGCCTTCTGTAACGAACGGTCTAGGTTAACTCTTTCTCTCCTAACTGACGATACCAACGTTGATTCCACCAGAATGTGGTAAATAATTACGGAGAGAAATAGTTAAACCATAAACTATTTAAATAGCCTAGGGTTCAAATGTATTGGTTCGTAAAAATATGGATCACAGACCAAGAGTGTTTCACGGAACAAACGTTTTAAAAACTTTAAAAAAAAAAATACTCTTAATAAGTATTCTTTTTTTTTTTTTTTTTTTTTAAAGCGAATAATTATATTAGCAACTGAGTTTCAATGTAAAAATGTAGGACTTTTTAGGAAGACATTGAACGAAGAAAACTAAAGGTTTTAAAAATCCCCGTCAAAAGCTAGCACTTTTTAAAAAAAATTCTTCAACTCCAGACCGACACTTTGCTTTCTTAAACAACGAATGAAATTAAAATGCAGAATTGTATGCTACTGTACATACAATTAAAGTAAATAACATTCACAATTGATAAGCTTACTTATCAATCATATCACTACATTTACTCAAAAGTAAGACTACTTAATAACTACATGGACAAAATAACTATGCAAAAAAAAATCAATAAATAAGTTAATATATTCATTTGTCACGTCAATTCAACCACAGAGCGACACCTAGTGGCAAAAAAATGCTATCTAAACAATACAGAGCGACACCTAGTGGCAAAAAAATGCTATCTAAACAATCTAAAGAAAAGTTTGTTAAAATGCTACACATTTAAAAAATAAAGAAGATACACCCCAATGATTCCCGTACATGTAACACCAGCTATGAGTATTTACATCAATGTCATAGGCACGTAATATACTAATAGACAGCATGAGCAAACATTTATAGATGAATACATGAATAAAATGTGATTCATTCTACATTAAACATGTCTTTAACAAATAAGCCTTTAAAATTGTTATTTAGCTTTAGTAGTGTCCTCGGAGAGCTAGCGCAACAAACATTTTATTTGACATTTTTATAATGTCCTCATACAGACAATGTCCTCATACAGACAATGTCCTCATACAGACAATGTCCTCATACAGACAATGTCACTCCCTTTCCCTTGTAATAATGTAAAATCGAGCGGAATTCACGTTTTAAAAGTATTCATAGTTCAGTCACCCTCTAATTTCTCACTAATTCCTGAATGTAAGGTCACATGACTTTACAAATATTTAATTGCAATTTGAAGGGCGGATTTTAATTGATATGTCTACAAGGTCCTCATCCTATTAGGTTTATGTGTTTCCAATATATTTTTTTTAGACCTGTCATATATACAATACATGTTCAATGTATATTTATGAGTGGAATATAGTTCGATTCATACATTGAAATGTAAGATGATCAATAAACATTTATATTTTAGCAGACGATGTCCAGCTTTCGGTGGAAACATTTCAATGAAGGACTTGTTAGTAGTTTTGTATTTAGGATAGAAATTTCGACCACTGAGTTTGAAATGTAGGCCTGCAGTAATGATTCCCGCCATTTTTTAAAAAATTTTTTTTTGGCAGTGCTGGTAATCTGGTATTGATTTCATTGTAACACATAGACCTACAATATTCATCTCTAAACCAAAAAGTCTACCGACACTGGAATATGGCTACACGAAAATAAAATAAGTTCAAGTTAACATGATCAAAAAAAAGGGGGGGGGGGGAAAGGAAGCCATTACAAGCTGGGCGGGAAAATCTGGAGGGGGGGGTTGAGGGGGGATCGTGTGGAGATTCTCTTGTGAGGTTTGTAGGAACGTTTACAAATAAATTATGGCGTTAGTCAAATAGAAAGTCGTCTTTGATCCGTCGACAGAGACAAATGGCAAACGTCATCCCAAGCACCTGCAACAAGAAAGGAAAGGTCAAGGTTAAACACTTGCAGCAAGGTCGATGCATTTGCGAATGCGCGAGAGGAAATGGAAGTGCACTTTCCAGACATGATGGATTTTGTACCTGTTGTTTATGACCGAGGAAAACGATTGTCCACTAAACTGAAAGACATATAGGCATCCGAAGTCTAAATGTTATAGAACTGATAATTCTGCTATAGTGCCTTCATATCTTTAAGTTAGAGATCTGCTCTTTTAAAAAGCATACAAAATAATTTTAAAGTGGATTGAATACATCGCATATGCACACAATTCATTAATAATAAATCTATCTGAATTCTAAGTTAATAGTCAACATTCGAGATTCATAGGCTGTGAGAAAATTATCTTTTCTAATTAGGAAATAATGTAGTCCTCATTAATCTCCCGAGTCGAAGAAAAGTATTATTATTATTATTATTTATTATCAATTGTATGTTCAGCTCATTTTGACTAATGGAGTGAAGAATGAGCTTAAAATGCTAAAGACAATATCACCCTAGTTTTTGTCAATGACGCCTGATAGTCTAAATTTCTGGCACCTGTTACACAGTCTTTGTCACAAACCAGTGTAACGTAGTCTTCGTCACTACCTCAAGTCACGAAGTATTTGTCGCTGACATCTTTCACATAGTCATTGTCACTGACAATTATCACGTAGTCTGATGTTATGACACCTGCCGCATAGCCTTTGTCACTAGAACCAGTCACGAAGCATTCGTCGCTGCCACCTGCCACGTTATCTTTGGCACCGCAGCCTGGAACTTAGTCTTTGACAGTGACACCTGAAACGTAGTCCTTGTCAACGACGCTTGTCACATAGTCTTAGTCACTCACACCTGCCATTTTGTCTTTGCCAATGGTACCTGTGACGTATTCTTTGTCATTGATGTCTGCCTGACACATAGTGTTTGTCATTGACATACGTCATGTAGTCATTGGTACTGACACCTGTCATTAGTCATTTTCACTTACAATGTAGCAGTTGAGGTGTAATCATTGTCTAACGAAGAAAGAAAGAGTCGTACTAGCTTAGTGTGTTACTTTCAAAGACTCTGCAAGCAAATACTCACCATTAAAACGGATACAGCTGAGGCCACACCAGCTAGGATCCGAACATTGTCTGTTAGAAATGTCACGATGGCAGTGTAACAGCCCTGTGGTCAAGAGAGAGAGAGAAACACTAATCACAGTATGTGTTCAGATAGGGATTCTCAAACTGTAGCTTTGTTCCTATTTATAAGTCCAACACCAATGGATCGTGATGTTATAGCTTGTATATACCTAAGTGTATCAACTCTGATGCGGCTAGTCATTTGTGGGCTAATTATTTAAATATTGCATTGCCTCCAGCCTGCGCAAAGTATTTTAAAAGTGATAATTGGCTCGCGCAGACCAATACCACTCTTTAAACTAAAATGCAGTCCACAGTGGCACAGAAGTCTGAGACGGCCGTGAACAACAGATAGACGTAGGCTTTATATCGGAGTTTCCGTCTCCTAGAGTGGCTGCCGACCAAAGATACAGAGCCTTAGCTGACATAGAAGAGAGCACCTGGCGGCATGCGGCTTCAGAGCGAGACAGCTGGAGATCACTCACAAAGGCCGCGGGGTACATTTGAGACCAAAACAAGATCCGCTGCCGAGGA